AACTAACTTAACGAGGAATCTATTCGCAAAATAAGAGGAACAATGGTACTTCATTTCCATATTTTACTTGACAGATTACTCAAGACTTAACGTTAAATACGAAATTTTACAATTTTCATGCACCAACCGAGTGCTGACTGAGAGGCACCTTTGCAAAGGGTTAACACTAGGTTCACGGACAATTATTGTACACTATTCTATTATTCCTAAAAGAATCGATGCTCGTTTATTTAGATCGAAACTGGATATATGATAGTAGGTAATTCGGTTTAGTTTAAAACTAAACTCCCATAATCTTCCAGCAAAACGAAAACGACGAATTTAATCATTTCCTGCGTGTTCCTCGTGGTTCGAGGAGCCAGCCCTAATACTGAAAAATCTCCGTTAACTCGTTCAGCGAGACGACAGGAGGTATAAACAAGACGGTGGTCGGACGGATGGTGATCGACGAAGCAATCTTCGAACGCCGGTTAACGTGTTCCGAGTATACGGAATTCGTTCCGAAGTAGACGGACGTACGGATAATTGGCGTGCCCGCTGGAAAATTAATTTGTCGGGTGCCAGGAATATCAGGCCGGAAATTCTCATCGTCCGGCGGCAAAGAAACCCGCCGCGTCCTATTCTCGCGCGACTTGTTCCGCCGGGCAAGCATCCGTTCCGCGAAATTAAATGTAAATTTCTACATTATTCCCGGCAATTCCGCGCGATACCGCTGTAGTCCGGGTCCGTGTACGTATACACGCGCGCACGTGTGCCTGTGTATCCCTCGAATTATACGGCGGGCATCGTACACACCGCGGGGTGCAGCCGCTAAACATGCCGGCATTATTAGGTCCGCTCGGAAAAGTCTACCTCCACTTCCGGCGTTCCGTTATTCCGAGCAACGAGGAACGCCCGTTGATTCGCCCGCTAACAATAAGACCGAGAACGGTTTAGCCGAAGGTGGCCCGGAAGCGGAGGCTCCGCTGCCGCGGTAAATCGTTCGTATCGGTGTGTCCAACGATGTAATCGATCCCAAGGAACAATACACGGGTATTGTTAACGAAATATTGCAACGCGCTTTATGCTCCTGTAATTACTTTCGGTTATTCTATCGTTTTGTACGCGAAACTAATTGAACCGGCTCATACAAATATCAGTTCGCCTATTATCGGCGGCGCGTTTCAAAAGCGAGCCGATGCTAAACAATTCAGGCTAAACTAGTTGAGCACAAACGTTGGTTAGTCCGTGCGATTGGACATTAATATACGGTGGTCAATGTTTAATGTTCAGATTGAATGAGAGCGTACAATGTGCGCGGCATTGTTTCGAATTTCCATAACGGACATAATAGAATCCTCGCGGCGAGGGCCGCGCGAAAAATGGTGGAATAATATTCGATCGGCTTCGGGTCGCGGCGTTCGAGGCTCCCCGGGGAGAAACGGGAGCGGAAGGGCGCACGGAAACGCGGAGAATGATCCGTTCTTGACCCAGACCGCGACGCAACCTCGTTCCGTGCCGGATTCCCTCGGAACACCCTGTAAACACACTCGTGGACGCATCTGAACGAATACAGAAAGCTCCTCGCCGGCGCGGGACGGGAAAGAAGGACAAGCGTCGGGGCCGGGCCGCTCTCTCAAAGGAAATGAAGCCAGCTCGCGCAGACGAAAGACACTCTCGAGCGAGTAGCTGCGCCGGTTTCCGGTCCCCCGCGCATCCGCCCGCCGTAAATACCGTTTCAATGGGCCGAGATCGATTGATAGCGATATCTCGCGGCGCGGCGCGATATGCAAAATGGAACACGGGGACCGACGGAATAAATCGCGCGATCATTTGATCGCCGTAACGCGCCGGTCAGATTTATCTGCGTTTAATTGGACAGTTTTCCGGGTTAACTGCACACCTTTTTTCCTGCTCGTTGATGTTCGACTCGAATGTTTCCGGTATTCTTCGTCGTCGCGACCGAGTCTGCGCGAATAGAATTGCGAGAGAAGACCGAGCTGTAAGGATTTCATTTTACGATTTCATTCGCGGAGGTTTCGCGGGCTAATTGGAGAAGCTGTAGGATCGATGTTGCATTGATTACAATCGGAGGTAACAGTAACGGAACTGTAGCTGGAATGTAAAAAGTAAATTTCAACTGTTGGAAAAAACAAACGCCAAAGGCCAGCAGTTTGGTTTATTCAGAGTTTTTGTGCCTCGAGTTATACAGGTTTTCAAGTTGCACGAGCTTCGGAGTATAATTGAAAACCGGAAACTCGTGGGGGTAGGACTTCCTGCGAATTCGAATCGCACGGGTGAAATGAATGCTAAAAAGGCGGATTGATCAGTTTCAAGTCGTGCAACTTTGATTAATAAAATACTGTATTATTAAACTTTCCGGGTGAATGTCGGCGTTCGGGATGAAATTTTCGTATTTGAAGGACTAGGGGGCGAACAAATGATTTAATTACTCAAACAGCACGTGATCAGCGCGTAGCTTCCTTTGTTTGTATTAATTAAGCATTCATCTGCTGAAGCTTTCGCATATTTCAAAGAATTTTCGTCCGCAAAGGGTTAAACTATTACTAAATATTATGTAATTATATGTAATAATTGGGTAATTAATTATACATTAATTTTATATATTATTATATATAATAATTTGGCAAACATTATGTAATAATATATAAATATTAGGTAATTCAGCTTCATCTGCTGTAGCTTTCGCATATTTCATAGAATCTTCGTCAAAGGGTTAAACTATTACTAAATATTATGTAATTATATATAATAATTAGTTAATTAATTATATATTAATTTTATATATTATTATATATAATAATTAGGTAAACATTATGTAATAATATATAAATATTAGGTAATTCAGCTCCATCTGCTGTAGCTTTCGCATATTTCAAAGAATCTTCGTCAAAGGGTTACTATCACTAAATAATGTTTAAAAAATCCAATATCCGTCAAATCGACGAATTCCGTGAACCTAGTGTTAACTAAAGTTCCAATTCTACTACAAATCCGATGTCCACAACTTTCTAAAACCTCCGGAACTCGAACGAAGGTTACTCGATTACATTTTCACTTGTATTTCAAGTTCGATCGAAGGTGCAACGTTCGAAGCGGAGATAACAGAGGAGACGCGCGAGAGAGCGGCGACCGCATTGAAAAAAAATTGCCGGATCTTACGGGGTATAGTCCGGCGGCTGTTCTCGCGCCCTCGATGTTCCCAGCCTCTGGCAATTGCTCGTTTGCGCGACGATAAACGGGACGACCCGCCGCTCCGAAATTCCTTTCAAACCCGGCGCCCGGCGTTGTTCGGGGACCGCGCGCATTTTTCGACGAGTGTCGACGAGCTTTCGAAATTATCGATTTGGCAGCGGTTCCGGCGAACAGACAGCGCAACGAAGTTGACCCATTTTCGAACAGTAGAAATGCCGCCCTTGTTAAGACTGACGCCCCGGGGGCTGTGTGTACCGAACCGCCGCTGCGGAATCATTTAATTTGACTGAAAAAGGGGAAACGCAACCGCACGCGTCCGCCACAAAAGACTTTATATCCCAATGGTAAACACCATGTATACATGCACGTTGCGCGGGATCCTGTCCGACATACGCGGCTATTCAAAAGATTCGAATTGCAGGATACCGTCAAAGGAAAGAAAATGAAACGTAACGGACTCAATATTTTTCAGCGAGAATCGAACGATTCAACGTCGTCCGTGTATTTTTCACTCGCGCATTACCTATTAACGAGAGACACTGCTGTGGCATTAGAAATGCTGAAAAACCCTGGAGAAATCGGGAAGGGATTCAGAGGATTACGGTTGATTGTAGGAGGATCTACGAGGTTGGCAATGGGTCCAGGAAAATCCAAGAAAGGTCGCGGTTGATCACAGGAGGGCCTGAATGGTCTTAGAAGGTCTTACGGGTTCTTAAAACCTCTGAGAATATCCTGTAGGATGTCAAAGGGTATTCGAGGTTCCTAGGTGGACTTACAACCTCTTAATAAGTCATGCTACATACGGAGAAGCTTGCGATCGCTGTTGAAAGGTACAGAGAAGTCTTAAAGGATCTTACAGAACCTTCATCAATACTGGCAGTCTTCTAAATTTCCTGATCTTAAAGTGTTCTACGATTATCTCAAAGTCCCTAAAACTAGGATAACATGTTCCAGATTAAAAAATCCGAAAGGAAAGTGTAGCGGTGCGTGGCTCGCAGCGTTGGTAGGAAATAGCATTGACCACTTATAGATGTTTAGGTATAGGCAATTAAGCTTACCCTAAAGTCTGTAAGTCGGCGAAAATATTTTACACTTTTTATACGTGCGTAGCTGAATAGGCTACCCTACCATGAACGCTGCCAGCTATGTCCCGTAAAGGCTTCTTCGGCCGGCTCGGAAAAAAGATTCCGAATTAGAAATTCACAATATTTCCCCTGCCAAAAATCGAGGCGACGTTGGAGAAGGGAATTAGCTTCACCCTCGAAGTTTCCAAGGAGTAACGCCTCTCCGAAGACGAAGATAAATAAAGCGGAACCCGTTCTGCCTCCGAGCACTCGTCTACTTAAACAAATAACTTGCAAACATATTTGCCGCGAGCATTCAATAACGCCTTACATCGCGACGGACAGAATCTTCCATACACTAGTACAGAATTTTAGCGTTTCCTGAACGATGGACTTTTAAAATATTCTAAAAAAATCCTCGGATAGTCCTGAAGCGTCCCGAAAGGCCATCATCCGTTCCCTCGGGGGAATAACGAGCGGAAACTTTGAGCAGTATACCCCACATCGTAAATAACCGGGCCGCCAATTGGCCAGAACGATCCGTCCGAAGAAGCTCGTAAAGAATAATTTACAACCGGCGAGCGGTAATCCAACGGGCGCACCGTCGAGCCATCCGCAGATTCGAATTAATCCCGATTACGACGGGCCCCTGTAATTTCGGGCCGCGGTTACGGTGCCCGGCGCCGATAGCGCGGCCGGGGATGCCCGCAACGACCATAAGCGGGCTTGTTTTGATTACAGGCTTTCTAAACGCTAACACGGATTCGCACTTACGGTCGCCGGCGAATTACGGGCTGATGGACCAAATCGCGGCGCTGCATTGGGTGCAGGAGAACATCGGCTACTTCGGCGGCGATCCCGGCAACGTGACGTTGATCGGCCACGGGACCGGCGCCGCATGCGTCAACTTCCTGATGACCAGTCATGCGGTACCCGACGGTGAGTGTCTTTCACCATGCTCTTCTTGTTAGTGGAATTAAGTTCTAAAATGTTTATTGCAAATATGACGGGAAAGTTGGAACAGACTGTTGAAGCGTAAGGAATTGGAATGACTATGGGAAATGCATGAAACTTAGAAATTCAAATTAATGTTTCATATCAACTTTGACCTACAAATTGGAATTTAACCAGTTCACTGTGCCCGACGGTGAGTGTTTTTCCCCATGCTCTTCTTGTTAGTGGAATTAAGTTCTAAAATGTTTATTGCAAATATGACGGGAAAGTTGGAACAGACTGTTGAAGCGTAAGGAATTGGAATGACTATGGGAAATGCATGATACTTAAAAATTTACTAAAAAATCCAAAGTAAAATTTACAAAATCGAATTCCTTATTCTCTTCCGTAAGTTAGAAATTTTGGTTTAATCGATGTTTAAAAATGTATCAATATAATCACCGACGCTCCCGTTTCTAGTAGCTGAAATTTAGCCGGCGTTCAATGTGTTAAGAGAAAAATATTACTGTTTCATGGTAGAAAAGAAAATTGTTACCGAGGCATTTCCATTACGACGATTAAGGGAGATAACGCGTTGACTGTGTTGTCAGCTGTATGATCGATAGATTTTTACCGAAATTTCAACAGCAATTTTCGTAATTTTTATCGGTGTTTACATTTGAAAAGATTTCTACAGGCATCGGTTCAACTGACAACGTGATAATCCTACAAGCGAGATTCGCGAGGCTCGCGCGTTAGAAAACAATGCTTACCGTTTCAGATAACCGTTACGTCAATATTTTCAGTACCGGGTGGATCAACGTCGACAGTTAATTAAGAGAAAGGTTGTTAAAAAATCCGAACACTGTACGAGCCGGTGGAATCTGCAAAAAGTTATTTGTTATTCTCCAATTTGCGTTTCGTTTGTGAATCGAGAATTTAGCATTGTACAATTTATCTTCTGATGCCGGTTATAACGGTTCGAATATATAAATTCCAAAAATCATTCCTACCACTTCGATTCGCGGAACTTTTAGATTCGGGCTGATTCAATTTGTGCCCCGTTGAGTTTACAAATTTAACGTCAGCGGGAAGCATTTCTGTTTTAAAAAAATTCCTTCCTCAGCACGGGGAATGTTTCAGCGATTCGGCGAGGGCAGCGGGGTAGCCCGGGAATCGAATCAAAAGAGGTTTATTTCAATATTTCAATACTAAAGGCACCGGCGCGTCGCCGTACGCCAAAGCGAATGTACATGAAAAATGCGGGATCAAAAGAATTCCTTGGCCCGACAGAGAAGCCGGGCCCCTTTAATCGAGTTACAGGTGATTCGCCCCACCCGGAGCGTGTCGGGGACAGGCCGCCGCCGTCGCCGCCGCCGCCGCGCCGGCGTGTATTTTATTTCTGTCGTGTGCCGGCCCTTGGAATAATTAACGTCGGGTCACGCTAACCCTTTTAATGGCCGCGTCTAGAAATAACTGACGGAATATTCAAGATTAAAGCGTTAGATGTAAACGAGGGGTGAATAGAACCCGAGCGGGCGGGGCGGCCGGCCGATGGCGAGCCACAAAAACTGTCGCCAGCTTCCGGCAGTCGTTCCGAACGCGACTCGCTGTGCTCAGATTCGTCGACAAAGGGGTTCAAGGAGGAATTAAAAGGGGGCTGTTTTTCAGCGTTCAACCTTAAATCACTACCGCGGCAGGGTTTACTATAAAGTTTAATAATACAGTGATTTTTATTTACTACTGTTAGATGTTTCTTTGAAAGTAATTGCATCGAGCGTTGTTTGGGAAATTAACACGTCGATGGTCACGATCTCGAACGTTTCAAATATCACGTTATTAATTATTGCAGTTATTAAATCACGATATTATAGAGTTACTTCAGGTAGAACTATTCTAATCGACATCGGTTGGCTTCTGTATACCAATTATTTTTAACCAGTTAACTGTGTTTGACGAGTATACATGTCATCTTAAAACTCTTAATGGTGCTAACTTTTTCAACGATGGATTATTTATTTTTTGAGACAAACATGTAATTCTTCGTTTCGCTTTAGTTTTTCGTTAGGATATGTTTTAAGTGCATTTCGCCTGCATCTAACGAGTATACACTTCATTATTCGATTTTATTGCAATGAGAGATTTTTCAAACTAAACTCCACACTTAACTGGTTAAGCAACTTAAGTCGATGCCTATAGCAGTCAAGGCGTTAACCTTTGCACTCCAAAAATTTGTCACTAGAAATATTCAATTTATTTCTGTCAGATACAGACATTTTTTGAAACTAACTTAACGAGGAATCTATTCGCAAAATAAGGGGAAGGAGAGGCACCTTTTCAAAGGGTTAACACTAGGTTTACGGGCATTTATTGTACACTTCATTCTATTATTCCTAAAAGAATCGATGCTCGTTTATTCAGATTGTAGAAACTGGAGATTCGATAGTAGGTAATTGGGGTACATGTCAGTGTGATCGCGTGAACATTTACAAAATAATATTTCTAAAATCCAATATGCGTCAGTTTGACGCGTTCCGTAAACCCAGCGTTAATAGCTGATAACGTTTCAAGGAAACTTGATTAAAACGTTGATTAGGCCACAGCGAAAGAAGACGGATCACGCGTGAGACGGTAACTCGATTCCGTCAAACTGTAAAATATTTAAATTATTCCGCCCAGACTCGCCACCCCATCCCTCAACGCCCGCCCGATCGCCTCGCGAGACGGTTTCGCGACGCGAATATATTTTCCCCGGCGAAGTTCGTGCCGGCGTATCGCGGGATGAAATTAATAACCAAACCCCGATGAAAATCATTTCTCAAAGCGGTCCGTAGCGGCGCGACAGTCGCGTGAGCGGAAACTGTTACGGGGCTGTTTCAGCACGCGGAAGACAGATCGATCCCTCGAAGGGGCAAAAAACAAAACAAGTGTTCCGGGGGGGCTTATCGTTAACCCGACCGAACGATAATTCACTACAGCTGCGGGCTGTCAATGGGAAGGGCCGGCCAGCTGATTCCACGGTAATTTAATGCGTCCGCCGAACCGTCTCCCCCTACCCTCTCCGCTCGTTGTTTCTGCGCTACGCGCGGATTCGCGTCGTTTAGAGGCGGGATTACGCTTAATATCGCGCTTCAATCTCAATCAATTGAGCAGCCGTTTTGTTGCGATCGGCCCGCTCGATCGCATCGATCACAAAAATTAATGTTCCTTTTTTTCGGGGACAAGAGAGTGAATTGGAAAGGGGGAACCGGGCCGATTTATCGATGCAACAGGTCCGGGGACTGCGGCCGCCGATAACTAATTCTGGATTAAGGGCTCGCCCGGCAGAGAATTATCGATTTAATTTATTAGCGGGCGAAAACTCTTGCGGAACGACTCGGTCGATGCTCGCGAATACCACAGAAGGTCCGATGAATTTTTAAGTCGACGGATTATACGTTCGCCGTGGAATTTAACACTAGTTTTACGGAGCGCGTCAATTTGACGCGTACTGAACTTTATAAACATTACTTGGCAAACGTTTATGTCGGTTTTGGTTGATGCAGCTACAAGAATACGTATCGTAATAACCTAATTTTAAATCCCTAATTTCTAAGATCTAAATGGTCGAACATCAATTTTTCTAGGAACAATAGAATAAACCGGACAATAAACGTCCGTAAAACTAGTGTTAATGTTCGATGAGGAAAAGGTTCCATCGGCGTCATGGAAGTCAATCGTTTACAGTAGTCGCGAATTCGAGGAACAAAGCAACATTATTCTGGTATGATTGGTTGCGTGCGGGTGATCGATATCATCTTCTGATTAATTAGCGCCGGTATGTTCGGGAAATGAGGTGACGTTCCAGGAAAATTCGAGTGGTTGACGGAACGTGGAAGACTATTTAGGATTGAATGATTAACCACTTGGCGTACTATTTGCTTTCGTTACTAAGCTCGTGTAATATTTTACTATCGACAATTTGTAAGAAATACAACAAAATCTTCCATTCTACTTCAGGTGGAAATTTCATTTGAAGATAATACATTGATAATAGGAAAATAGTCGTTTTCACGTATCGAGGCATTATACAAAGTTTAACATTAAATATCACATTCTATAGTTTTACTGTGTCAAATCAAGTGGTGACTGAGTCACCTCTCGACTGCAAAGGGTTAATAATGTTCGTTTCTTTAATAAATCCAGAATATTCCGAATATATGTGAAGTTAATGCATGGTAATGAAAGAATGTTCTAGAAAGTGTGCGAGTGAGACGAGAGCATCTTTGTATAAATAGTGTGCGCTTTGATTTAGTTAGTGTTCTATTATGAGTTGTCAAGAAACAATTATACTGTTCCCAATAAAATTCTCTTCTACAAAATTAATCTTTAAACTCGCGTCCCCTTCGCCGCAGGACTAACCGCCGAGATTCGCCTCGGAGAATAAAACCCGACGCTATCCATTCTTCACCGCTTCTCCGCAATCAGAAGTATGAAACTCATCCGAATCCCAGAATACTCGCAAACCCTGTAGCAGATCAGCATTCACGAGACCATCGGAATAATGCAATCTCCCGCGAAGACATTAAAATCCGCCAGTGATTACATATCGTAATCCTTTCACGCTGCCGCAAGAAGTGACCTGGTTCTCGCGTTCCCTCGGTATTCCGAGGACAACAGGCAGCGCGGATCTCGGCGTTGTCCGCGACGCGGGAGGGAAAAGAAGGGTGTGCTCGCGTCGCTCGTTGAGCAGCGGCGAATTTAATCGTCCTGCTCGCCGTCGCGTCGCGCCGCGTCGCGCCGGGCCGAGCAACGTCGAGAGGCATTACGGAACCGAGGGCTCGTCTAATGAGACCCGCAGCCGCGCAAGTGCCACGCAACGCCGCCATTTCTTTCCTTAAAATGCGCTGCGTAATTTACGCTGATGGCATCAGCGATGAATGACGGCAATTCTGTGTCCGTCAGGGATCGTTTTAATGGAAAAAAGCGTGCTTAACCACTGCGTGTTCGCGTTTCACCCCCGCGCC